TAGTATTTTTTATAAAATAACCTTTTATTATTTTCAGTTCCTCCACTTCCAATGAGGCACCTGAACTGGAATCGACCGAAGCGTGGTCAACACCATGAAGTGGATCACGATTACGACCGCGATAACGATTACGACCGCGATCATGATTACGACCGCGATCACGACTATGACGGTCACAAAGGCGTTACTGGTCCCGTACACACATTTGTGAAAACTGATAAAAATGCTAATTACAAATGGGGCGTGAGACATCATGTTGGGAATAAATACGCATCTTAACTAGAAGAACTAATTTTTATATTTTATTTAGTATTTATGAGTGATCTGATTGTTATTTTAATTGTAAATTAATAAATAGACATATAATAAGTTATTTGATGTTTTATTTTTAGATAAAATAAAAAATAAATCAGTCGCTAAAACCTTTTTAGGTCTGGGCCTCAGATTTCTGTATCTGTTACATGATCAATTGTTAATCTAATAGGTGATCAGCCTCCTGTGCCTGACACACGCCGCCGACTTTTTGGTGTTTTCCTTCACTGTTCGAGCGAATGTTAAATGCGCACATAGAAATAAGTCCATTGTAATATATTACAAAAATAGATACTATATTTCTATTGAATACTAAATTGGTATAATTATTTAATTAACGGAGTGTGGAGTAAACCTATTGTGCCTACGATTGGTAAAAAACAACAGCCTTTAGGCTACTCTAGATCCTGATAAAGTATTGTATAACTATATCGAATTACCATGCGCCTGCGCCGTCTGCGGCCGACACACACGAATACCTAAATCCGTTCACTTAAATTATTACAACATTATGTTGCCACTTGTACAGACTGTAGGCGATTTACACTGAAACGACGAAAAATAACGCTTTTCGAGTATTTTAATCATAGATAATAGATCTGACAGCAGAAGAGAATATTTGATGATGACTTAATTGTTATTAGTTTTCTGTTTAATATCAAATAGCCAGATAAGTCGGAAATGGGTTCCATTTTTGGACAAAGATTGTATTAAGTTATAAAGCATAGAAATGTCGTCAGTTACTTTAATTTTGATGACTTTTTACAAAATATTTTACAAATACTATAGCGGAGAAACCCTTTCTTCCTTAGAAAGGGTTTAGTATATCTTTCATTTAATAAAGAGGTAATATGAGCAAAAAGAGAAGATAGTTATAAAGCTATACTGAATGAATAAATCATAAGTTTTAGCGACGAATATAACCTCTTAGAACTACAGTAAAGTCCGTGTCAGCTGTCATTTCGTACACGTCAATCTCGGAGCTTTCACATAACTTTTCTGACAGAGTTTTTACTTATGTATATTCCGGAATATAAATCCTCAGTGTGTCTAGATTATTTAAAATTCTACTGTACATTCGTTTTTTTAACGAATGCCATGGCGACTATTAGGCCGTCGTTCGTGAGAATCAAGCCTAATAATGACATAATAATAGACTTTATCAATGAATAATTAAATTTATATCTTTTAAATTGTAGTTCCGTTATCAGGTCAATGAATTGGGTTTGATCAAGGCTTTGACGTGACTTTCACCTTTATACGTAATTAAATTTAAATACAATTTTTTTTTAATAAAATTAAATAGGACAATCTTTCAAGTGCTGGAAAATTCTCATTTCGGTGGCTAAAACACTTTTTGGGTCGCAGAGCCAAGTAAGTGTACGAGGAGAAGCTTTTCTAGTTTAAAAAATAGGTTCTAATAATAGGGTTAATAATAATAATTTATTCCAATTAGATAACGCAGATCCATTTTAGTTAGTACAACTCATGACATCTAAATATCATGTGGAACATGGTGCGGTTGCAGCTCCTTACAAAGATATTTATTTGTAAAACCAAAATTTGGCGATTAAAAAAAGTGGCGGACAGTTTATTGCCAGTTCTTCTCGTCCGTTCTACGCCCTTAATATGAGAACTGGCGGTAAATGTAAAATTAGAAGCATTTAATATGTATGTATTTGTTTATTGATGTTCATAAGTGTACATAGTGTAAATGAATAAATGATTTTGAATTTGAACATAGTTATTAATTTTAGTACCACCATCCAACAACATTAATTATGAAATAAATAACAAGTAACAGTAAAATATAAAAATACCTAGTCTTCATTTAAAATACATTGTATTTTTGTATGGTCCAGATATTTCTAGATAAAGCATATTGTTGCCGAAGGTCCTTTGAAATAGTTTTCTCAATACATTTGGTGTGACAGTTTGGTTGACCTTAAAATGCAAGGCGTGGCGAATGTGCACAAAGAACATATGAACATACTCGTATGTGTATGACTTCACGTATAAGCTGTAATAGTGCCTATTCAAAAAAGATAAAATCTAATTTTGTCTATTGCGAGATTTCAACTTATAATTTGATACAAGTGTATATGTATAGTTTTTAAGTAGTGGTAAGTTTTAGGTTCTCTAACGAGCCACTTTGGTAACACTGGCGAGAAACCCCGAATAGCAGATCAAGTGACGCAAGTGGAAATGGTTAGGCCATACACTCCGAAGAGATTCCAATGAAATCCCCAAGCAGGCGTTTGATTGGAACCCGAAAGGAAAGCTAAAGCTTGGCCATCCGAAGCAAACCCGGCGTCAAACAGCGTGGTGAAGAGAGTCAAAAGACGTGGAGTGAGGTGAAATACGAGGCTCAAGACTGAAAGAGGTAATCTCTGGACGCTCTCTGCCCCATCCAGGGGTCTAGGACATTAAGTCAAGACGTGCAGCCACACACGTGTCTGTAATTTTTTATCTATGGAATTCTATAATTTATGGAAATCTAGTAATTGATATCGATATAAACGTGAAACTTACATCGATATTATTATTTCCTTGGTCAACGCTTATATACACATAATTTGAAAGATATCAAAGTATAATTAAATATTATAATGATAAAAAGACAAACCTCTCAGATCTGAACTTTAGATCAACGTTAGTCAAAAGGCTAAATGCAAAAGCTATTAAATTAATTCTATGATACACATCAACAATGAAACAGCGTTTGCCTACAATGGCTAAATAAAATCATAGCGCAGAAACGTTTTTTTAAAGGTTAACATTTATTAAAATACAATCATTTAAGGGAGCCAATATTTAATGTTTTCATCAATTAAGGTAATGATGAATGACTTTTAGGAGTTCCAATTAATATAAAAACAAGGAAAACTTATGTTTTCATATGAATAATATCTAAAATCTTTCCTTCAACTTTCATTTTCTTCCCTTTGGGGTACAGATTCTTGGACCGTGGGGTTCAAGTGCACAGGCGCTAATTAAATATCTATGTTGGCGCGGTAGTACCGGTGACCCCAGAGCTTTCCTCGCTCAACAATTATCGCAATACATCAAGAAAATGCAGCCAGCATTAAAGGTACACGGCCACCAAACATTGAAATTTGTTTCATTTTCTGTTTATCTATTTTTAATGTTAATTAAGAATATTTTAAATATTGTACATTTGTGTGTAGGATATTAATAATATTATTTTAATTGAAGTTTTTATTCCTCAGTCCATTACACTCATTACATTATGTGAACTATACCTAGTAAAGAGAGCAGTGTTGGCCTGGTTCGATGCCCGGCTGTGCACCAATGGACTTTCTTTTTATGTGAGCATTTAACAGTCGATCGAACGGTGAAGGAAAACACCGTGAGGAACCGGCTTGCCTTAGACCCTAAACGTCAACGGCGTCCGTCTGGCACAGAAGGCTACTTGCCTATTAGATTACCAAATGACGATGAAACAGATACAGAAATCTGAGGCCCAGACCTAAAAGGATTGAAGCGCCATTGATTTATTTATACGTAGTAAAGAATATTGTTTTATAAAAGGATATTTAATTTATAAGAGCAGTGTAAGTCTAATGGTTGAGGGTTCCCGGACCTTGAGTGTATGTGTACAATAAATACTCGTGGTGTATAGAACCTAACACATCTTACGGTGATATTTAGAATAGACTTAGGCTATGTTCACATGTAACGCGCGTTAACGCGCGTCAACGCGCGATCAAATTTGAAGAGCGTTCAGATGATGAGCGCTAACGCGCGTTGCGAGAGTACTCGTCAGTCTAGTTCGGTAGAACGTAGAAAATGGACGTGGAAGAGGCTATTATTTTGTGGTTATATTATAAAGAAAAATATAGAAAAAGAAAACGTACACATTGGGTTTATCCAATTTTGAAAAAAAAATACAATTTATATTATATTTTTTATACAAATTTGCTATATTCCAACTTGCTGACCTTTTTTCTACTTCATCGATTAGTAAGTCGATGTCAATATCTTCAATTTCACTCATTTTAAAAGCGAGAACAAAATATAATTACGAAAATTAATAAAATTACATGCGATCGCGATGAAAGCGCGCGCTCATCTGAACAGCAAACGGACATTACATTAATATCAAAGCGCGCGTCAACGCGCGATCACCTGCGTCTAGAGACTTTTTCTCTGAGCGCCGCGTTGACGCGCGTTAACGCGCGTACATGTGAACAGTTGTATGAAAAATACCATAATCTCTAGTCGCGCGATTTGAAAACGCGCGTCAAGTTTTTGCCATCTGAACATAGCCTTAGCCGAGGTTAGAATTCCGTATGTCAAATGACTCTGACATAACTGTAGGTCATGCACAGCCATAGATGACCTAAGTAGCCGGGAAAGGTAGGCTTATTAGGAACAATAAAAAAAGCCATATATGACCAGATACTTGCCTATAAATATGATTAACGAAAAAGATGACGTAATTTTAGTTTAAGACCCTTGAAGGGCTACTGAATACATGCGAGTATGTGTCCGTAATTTGATATATATTTTTAACGGCTTGTAAAGGCTTACTGAATTGTCAATCCCCCAATGCTAATAGAAGGGGTGTCAGTATATAAAGTATCAGCGCACGCGCAGGCCTACAAACGTTGTGGGACCCGTGTGTGGAGTGGACTTTATTTTTATTTCGAAGGCTCGTGTGTGCAATGTTGCGTTATTGTGTTGTATTTGCGGTGGTCGGCTGTGCGCTAGGAACCCCTGTCGCCCAGTACCAAGTACAGGTTTGCTATATTTTTATTCAGATCTTGGCTTAGAAGTTCTATCCATGCACTCATGTATCGTAATATAACCAATGTGTAGTACATTGTCTAAATGTCTTTAGGCCAATAGGGTAAAATTACATTATATACCTTGTTTTCTAATCAATGAAAATTTTTATTACAGTTTTTATTCAAACTGTTCTGATATAACCACATCATAGCTGTCAGAAGTGTATAAACTATAGAGCATTTTAATAGTCGTTATTAGTAGTTTTGCAAGTAATTAGTAAAAGTAAATTTCAGTTTTCTTTGGTTTTTTTTAAACATATTTTTGGATATTAATGTACTTACTTGTTTTGTGTTGTTTTGTTTTATAATGATATGTATGTTAGCTGGAAGATTACTTATAATTAAATAATAAATAAATTATAGAGTTACGTAATTTAAATAATATCAATTGCAGAGTTTATATTTATATACTATTAAAATACTTTATACTAATAAAATTAACTCATATATGTATTATTATACCTCGACTTACGCTGATTTGATTTACGTGATTATCAAATTTAAACAGTGTAAGTTGTAGATATAACCATATATTTTAATAAAACGTTTTTGTATTAAAACACATTACAATATCCTTTATAAAGATATATAGGGTATTTCACGTATAAAAAAGTGAGGTCCTAGAATTTAATTATATTCGGGTTAATCTCGGGTCTAAACGCAAATACGTAACATTTTTTATATGATGTTTATTTTTCAAGTTATGGGGCTTTAAAAAATAGTGTTAATAAAATTCCGTTTTTTTTTTGGATTAGATTTTTAAGAGGATTTTGACCTTTCGATTTGACTCGAAATATTGTCCTCTACAACCGGAAGTAAAATTTTAAATGGGTTTTTCAAAAAGTTTGACCAATTTTTTTTAAATTCCTAAAAATTGCTTAAAGTATATTTTAAGTATACTAGAAGTTTCCAAGTGGGATGGTTACTAGTTAGGAAGATAGGTGAATTAATGTACATGCATGTCGCACTGAGTTAATTAATGTATATAATATAATGTATCTAACATAGTGTCGAAACAACATGCTACACTTTAGAGAGAAGTGCAGTTGAAAATTGTAGTGAAAGTGAATTAACGATACTTCCGTCGTGAATACTTGCATTTAATTTTCGTTCGGAGACAAATACTAAGAACGTGATTTGAATATTTTATTTACACAAGAAATACAGTACACTTAAAAGTAACGTAATTCACCGGTGATTATGCAGAATATATAAGTGAGTAAAATATCTGAGATGTGGAACCGTGGTTTAATTCTTTCAAATTTTGTTTTTAATTAAGGCTTTATAATTTATATAATAATAAATTAGTGAATCGACAGATTATTAAAAAAATGATAAATTTTCACAAATAATTTCAACAGTTTATTTACATTGCGTCAAAAAATTAAGTATCTTGAAATGAAATGATTATTAAGAACAAAGTGTACATGTATATTTAAAACAAATAAAAAATAGAATAACATTTAAATGATCTCATGCCAGACTCTACGGAACTTTCACATAAAACGTGCCTTTAAAATAGGACACCAAGAGTAAATTGTCTGTGATAATACACGTTTAGTTTTCTCAAGAAGAGGGAGAATTAAAAGATAATTCAATAGACTCCAATACCAAACGGCCGCACAGATAGGCTCCTACAAGCATAAATTTAAAAAGAGCAAAAATAATATCTTACTATAAATATTTTTTTTTTCAAATTCATATTAATTATGTAGTTTTATATATGTTAATAACATAGAAGAAATCCAGTATAAAAATCTACCAGGTTTTATTATTACTATTAGACAGTATTTTACAGTACTGCGCACACAAATGTTTAGATTATATAAGAAATATACATATATATCAGACAGAAATATATATATCCTATATATCAGAGCACATTTTCTTTAGCCTTATTAATTATTTCGTGTAGAATATGCCGTAACATGATAATAGGTGTAGGCGTAGAGTTCATAAATGAATAGAAACATAATATATCAATAATTACTTAATTGTGTGCAATATTTTAACTAGAGCGTTTACTGGTAATGAAACCGGTTGATTTTGGTTATGTATAACTGTCATGATTTTAAGGTTAGTATGATCTTTAATAGGTTTATTATGTTATTAATAATTAATTGCAAACCCGCGGCTGCGTTGTAAAAACAATTTTATGATAATCTGTGGCATCTGCCACCTATTTCTTTTAGGATCTGTTGACACTTATCATTGTTATTATAAAATCTCTTTGGAATAATTTAAAATGTAAGCAATGAAATATATCCAACCTTTTGTTGTAAAAATGTAATGATTAACACATTTGACAAATTGAACGATAGACCCTTCTAGTGGCTTTATGTATGTTAATTTGACAACTGACTGATTTGACAGCTTATTAAAAGTTATTTTTAAATGCTTATATGCTGCGACTGAGATCCAGGATTTCATACAGAAATAATAATTTCATTTCATTAAGGAAATCTCGACCATTACTAAGGTCTACAAAACCAACTGTGTCGTAATTATTATATTATATTATTACGCTTTCTTTTGCCTAATTTATATTACCAACTTATACATTTTACTTAATGTTAATGAATGCTTACATTTAAACAAATAAACATTATATCACTCTTCTATGTAGGACAATTTATTTATTTTAAAAACATATTTCGATATTTTATGTTTATAATATTATAAAGGATTTTCTACTAAAAAAAAGATGACGAAGAAAATGATATGTATTACAATTTTTGCGCCTGATATTTTTTTCTTATAAAAGTTGCTTGTTATTATTACAACACACATTTTATACCTTATTTTTATTTTGTCTCATACTTTAATAATGAAGAAAAAGTTTTGGATAATATTGTATTTACACAATTAGATAGATTAAATGCGTTAATATACTAAATAATAACTTAACCCGTGACCACGCTTGCAGCGATCAATTTTTCTTAATTAGGGCCTACTTTTTAATTAAATTGTTGATAAAATTTTAATAAATAAACTCGTTTTAATTAAACATGTACTATCTTTACACTGTTCTTTACAAACGTACGAATTCTAGCACTAAAAAGATTAATATATCCAACTACAACAAAGTATTTGTCAGCAGGAAGAAGGTATACCACCACACCTGCTGAGACAGTACATTGGCCAGGGACAGCAGCAACATGCTCCACGACCGCAACAGGCTGCACCAGCTAGACTAGTGAGTTACTTCTATACAATATATTATATTACGTAAATTGTTTCTAACTTCTTGGTCAAGATGGGTTTGAAGAAGAATGTAGAGGAAAACACTTGAGCCCATCCTTCAACGTAAATGGAGAATCTTTGACCACTCTAATAACTGACTGGCCCAAAGGCCCCAAGCTAGATGTTGTATAGTCAGTGCTGGGAAACTTATAGCGTGTTTAAGATGCGACTTTTTCCTGATTCTAGTCTCAGATTGTAGTCGCTTTACATTTAACAATAAAAAGGGTATTTTTATATAAGGGTATTTGATATTTGTATGACTCAAAACTTGGCGATTAAAAAGAGTGGCGGAGTGTTTCTTGCCAGTTCTTCTTGCCCGCTCTACGCCCTTGATTTGCGAATTGGTAGTAAATGTAAATTAAGAATCAATTTAACATCTTTTCTGTTGACGTTCATAAGTTGACTTGGTTACCTATATGAATTAAGTTATTTTGAGGTTGAGTTTGAGTTTGTATTTAAAAGTTTATGATACCGGAGAGACTACAACTAGCATTTCGATATAAAACATTAACACTATTTTGCCGTAATTATTATCTGAACATTTTTCTAATATTTTTGTTATAAATGTCACAGTCTTCACGTTATTTTTAAATCATAACTGTAATGTATATATGTATATATTTGTATTTTCCTCTAAAGCCTCAACTTACTTGACATAGAGGAATCATACTTAGCGCTAGTGGTTCTTACCTTATTGTAATAACTTTTTTTAGACAAACGAATTAAAAATATAAATTAATTTTTCAGGATCGATGAAATGATTGATTACATGTTTCATCTATCGCCATATACATTTGTGTTAATGAAGATTTCTTACAGCCCTACAACGCGCAAAGTGAAGACCAGTACCAGGCGCGACCTCAATACCAGCCTCAGCCCCAAGCTCAACCACAGCCTCAATACAGACCCCAACCTGAGCAGCAGAAAGACCCAGAAGACTATGACGTAAGGCATTCAATAATAATATAATTTAACAATTGCTGTGTTGGCCTAGTGGCTTGTAGGGCAAAACCAAAGTGCTCGCTCTGCGAAGAGGCGGGCAGGAAATCAGACCACAGACTGGGAGGTAGCAGTTGCACTGCTCCCAGCGTGAGGGTACCTAGGTATCGCCCATCACCTAAAAAGAAGACACCTACAAAGTCCCCGCGCAATAATGCGCCTATGGAGGTTATCGAAATTGTAGCCAATCAATATGGCCCTGCGGTTTCTACAGTGTAATATAAACCACTGCGCCGCAGCGCAAGACCTACTACACCAGAGTCTGGCGCAGTGGGACATCAACGTCGGCATAATATCTGAGCCCTACGTAATACCGGATAGAGGAAACTGGGTGGGTGACCTCGATGGCTTGGCCGCAATCGTCGTTACACCGGCGGACGGTTCGCCCTGCATCGGACCAGTTAGAAAAGGCCACGGCTATGTGGCAGCAAAACTGGGAAGCGATATGTGCATCATCAGCACCTATTTCTCCCCCAATCGCTCTTTGGCTGAGTTTGAAACCTATCTAAGGGAACTAGATAGCGTGGTGGACTGGAGCCGCCCGAGACATTTAATCGTCGCTGGGGACTTAAACGCAAAGTCTGCGGTGTGGGGATCGTTGGTGACCAGGCCGCAGGGAGACACGCTAGAGAAATGGACTGTTGGGCACAATCTGTCAGTTGCAAACAGGGGCTCCGAAGCTACATGCGTGCGAACGAACGGAGAATCCATCGTAGACGTAACATTCGTAAGTCAACATCTGTCCCGCTGGGTCCAGGGTTGGGAAGTCCTAACGGGGGTTGAAACCCTATCAGATCACCGTTATATCCGGTTCCGTACTCTCGCCCCGTCATCGTATCCGGAAATCAGCCCGAGTTTGTTAAAACTAGGCCCAACCTGGGCCCTTAGAAGCCTAGATAAGGAGCAAGCGGAACTAGCCATAACTGTTCAGGCTTGGTGCCCCAATCCAGAACCTATAAATACCGAGGACGAGGCAATGTGGTTTCGTGACGCTCTGACGTGCATATCCGACGCCGCAATGCAAAGAAGCCGCCCTGGACGTCGCCGACAAAGTGTATTCTGGTGGTCGGTGGAGCTCGCCCAGCTACGGGCTGTCTGCGTTACCACCCGTCGCCTTTACACTAGGGCTCGCAGACGACGTCCCCTATGTGCCGAAGAGGAAAGCCGAACCCACTGTGCATTCCGAGAGGCTAAACAGGCGCTAAGAATTGCGATTGCTGAAGCAAAAAAAAGGGCATGGCAGGAACTACTAGAGACGATAGAGCGGGGATCCCTGGGGGCGCCCGTACCAGATAGTTACAAATAAACTGCGCCCCTGGGCCCCACCTCTCACAGTTACAATGGAGCCAGACCTGCTAAGCACGGTGGTGGCAAAACTTTTCCCCGAGCGGAGTACGCCAGATCTGCACCAAGGGACGCGCATCGAACACGTTGAAACCATCCCTGAGGTATCCTCTTCGGAATTAGAGACGGCAATAGAGCGGATGTCCACAAAAAAACCGCGCCGGGGCCTGATGGCGTGCACGGGCGAATCCTGGCCCTCACCCTCACCGCTGGTCTTGGCGTGCGATATCAGTGCCTCCTCACAGAATGCTTGCGAAATGGCCACTTCCCGTTGGCATGGAAGACTGGACGACTGGTGCTATTAAGAAAGGGCAAAAAGCCCCCAGAGTCACCCTCAGCGTATCGCCCAATAGTCCTGCTAGATGAAGCTGGCAAGCTGTTCGAGCGGATCATTGCCGGTCGTATTTACAAGCACCTAGAGTCTGTGGGCCCTAACATACACGAAGCGCAATTCGGGTTTAGAAAGAGGCGATCAACAATAAACGCTATCGCTCGACTTCGAGCAGTGTGCGAAGAGCAGCTGTCCCGCGGTGGTGTGGCCTTAGCAATATCGTTGGACGTCGCCAACGCTTTTAACACACTGCCCTGGGAAAATATCGAGGCAGGCCTCAAATATCACGGGCTACCGGAGTACATACAAAAGTGTATTGCATCGTATCTTACAGGACGCCGAGTCGTTTACCCATCTAAACATGGTCTCAGGGAGCGACTTATCAAATGCGGTGTTCCACAGGGCTCCGTTCTTGGACCGCTGCTATGGAACATCGGCTACGACAAGGTACTCAGGGCGGAACTAGTCGCGGGAGTGACAACTATCTGCTATGCCGACGACACACTCGTGGTTGCTTGTGGGCAGGATTACAAGGAAGCGCGATTACGCGCAACTGCTGGAGTAGCCAGAGTTGTGTCCGAGATTAGAAAGCTTGGTCTCACAGTCGCCCTCGCCAAATCGGAGGCGATATGTTTCCACGGCCACCGCAGAGCGCCACCACAAGGTGAAAGCATTATAGTCGGCGGAGTATCTATCCTGATCGGCTCCACACTCAAATACCTAGGGCTTGTCCTAGATCCTCGGTGGACGTTCAAGGCGCACTTCACGACACTTGCCCCCAACCTTACTACCACAGCAGGTATGCTCTCACGCATAATGCCAAACCTAGGCGGGCCGGGTGGAGAGTGTCGCCGCCTATACGCTAATGTAGTGCGAGCGAAGGCATTGTACGGGTGCCCAATATGGGCGGATAAGCTGAACCGGTACAACAAAACCATCCTCAGGCAGTCGCAGAGAGTAATCGCAATTAGGGTCGCGAGGGCGTACCGCACGGTTTCGTATGACGCAGCGTGTGTTATAGCCGGCACCACACCCTGGCACCTCGAAGCGGATGCCTTAAGCGAAGTTTATTGGAGGAGGGCCGAAGCTAGGCACAATGGTAATGACCCAGCGCTCGGAGCAATCAAGTCGTGGAAAGTTTCCGAAGAAAACGAAGCAATAAGACAGTGGGCGGAAGAACTAGCTACTGCGAGCGCTGGGTTCTACACCATCAACGCGTTCAGACCACATCTCGACAAATGGGTGAGGAGGCGGTGGGGCCGCCTCAGCTACCGACTCGTGCAGATATTGTCCGGACACGGCTGTTTCGGCAGCTATCTGCACAAGGTAGTCGGGCGTGAGGAGGCACCAACCTGCCACCGTTGTGACGCTGGTGTTGTTGATGATGCGCTCCACACCTTAAAGGATTGCCTAGCATGGGAGGTGGAAAGGAGGCCTCTACTGGGCGTGCTACAGGGCGAGGACGCTACCCTCGATAACATTGTGAGAGTAGCAGTTACAAACACGGACAGTGACGGCATGTGGGAAATCTTCCAGAGATTCTGTGAAGCCGTCATGCACAAAAAGGAAGAGGCGGAAAGGGCCAGGGAGGATGATCCTGCAGCCCACCCGCGTCGCCGTAGGAGACCACAGCGCCGCCGTTGCACCGTGCAACCCCGTGTGAATCCTGGGCACGCAGTTGCTCCAGCGGGGGAACAGGGGTCCATGCGTCGAAAAGAAGGGATGCTGACGCATCCCTGCAAGCATCGTGCCCGACCTCCCCAGCTTTATAAACAGGGTGACTTGGCCGATGTGAAAGGCCCTTGCTGTGCCAAGGTCCATTCCACATCATTCGTGGCCGTAGAGGACCGTGATACTAACGGCTGATCGCGTGGCTGGATGCGGACAAGGCCACGCTGTTACCGTGTCCTGCCCCGGGCGATTGCTGGTGGCGCCGTGGGGTTTTAGTGGGTATGCACTGTTGTGCGAGTCCCACATAACCCTTCCCCCCAAGGTCAACCGTGCCGCGGGAGGGTATGCTTAACGCATTTCCCCACGAAAAAAAAAAAAAAAAAAAAAAAGCTTCAGCGTGCAACTCTCATCCCTGAGGTCGTAGGTTCGATCCCCATCTGTGCACCAATAATTTCTGAACTTAACATTCGCTCGAACGGTGAAGGAAAACATCGTGAGGAAACCGTCTTGCCATAGACCCATCAAGTCGATCACCTAATTGTCTAATAGATTGGCAAATGATCATGAAACAGATACAGAAATCTGAGACCTAAAAAGGTTTTAGCGCCACTGGTTTTTTTTTCTTTTTTTTTTGAACAATAAAACACCTTCTCGTGTTTCGGTAGCAAGTTCTAATTCGCTATCTTTTAACGTTTTATTCGACATGCAAGAAATAAATCGTTACTATTTGATAACATAGGTATACACAGTAAACAACTTACATTGCAATTGATTGGTTTTCTAGGTTCGATTACCGGAACTAAACGAAATAATTTGTAAAAAACGATTAAGAAAATCGTTACGTACCTACCTCGTTATGACTTTAATAAATAGGTTTAATAAATAAAAATATAACATTTCCAGCTTTATAATGTAATTAGTAGTTTTATGTAATTTGACATAAAACTGCCTGTTTAATCATAATTTAGTCCTGAAATGTCGATCAAGTTATACAATTGACAAATATCAAGATCAAACTAATGTGCTACTTTAAAAACGGTCATGAGGCAATACCTCGTGTCCACATACTTGCCTGACTGTAACAAATTACTTCGACGCGGTTACATAAAGAATAATTATGGTTATTGCTTCAAAATCAGAGCAGTGTCAGTGTAATGCTATTAAGACAGGTCATGCGTTTGAAGTTTCATTAAAATATGAAGAAAGGAAACATGTCATGACAAAAATCGACGACATATGTCAAGCACAGACTCTTAGCTAGCTTAGCTTCATATCAGAAGTCAAAGTCAAAGTCAAAAATTATTTATTCATTTAGGTAGCACAATGTACACATATGAACGTCAAAAAAGAAATATATATGAAATGCTTCTAATTTTACATTTACTGCCAGTTCTCAAATCATGGGCGTAGAACGGAAGAGAAGAACTGGCAATAAACTCTATCAAGGGTTGTAAGACAAATCCAATTGTTTTTAATTTATTAATATTTAGGCAATTTATTCTACGCATATTTTTAATTATAATTTATTCAAACTAGTAATAATAAATTATTAACAATTAGGTTGCATAATTGACGCTGAATGTAATTTGCATGTCCACGTAATATGGAAAAGCTTACAAATCACGCGAATAAAACGTTCTCCCCTGTTAGTAATTCATTATAACGAGTTTGTGGCAAGTTTGAAGTGAAAGTAGATCATTCGTCCCGTACGTGTACCTACGTAAAGTGTACCAGTTTCTATAAACGGTTAAATATTGGTTAATAATTGGGTAAGAATGAGACTTTAGATCAGTCGCTAAACCTAGTACCTACAGTAGAACTCGAATATCAAGGGAGACGCCAAAAAATTGCACAAATAGAGTTTTAGACTTTAAGAGGTTTTCGGCTTAGGTGGATTTTGATTTTATTTTAGAGAGGTAAAATAAATAAAAATTTAAGTTACAGAGGTAACAATAACTCCTAAATAGTTTTCTGAGAAACTTGGTGTGTTGTTTCTTAGAAAACTTACCTAACTTGATTGGGGTTTACATTGTCGACATATAATTAAAATCGAACTTATTTTTCTTTGAACTATAAATATACGTCTAAGTATCACATTATCAAGTTGTAAATTTAAAACATTGCTATGTTCGAGATTCTACTTTTCATACATTGCAAGCATCAAATATAGACTGAAGATAGAAATAAAGTATGTTTTATAATAAAAAAACCACTGCCAAAACCCTTGGTCTTAGCCTCAGATTGCTGTATCTGTTTCGTGATTATTATTTCTAATAGGCAAAACGGAGATCAGCTTTCTGTACTTGATATGCCGTCGACTTTTTGAGAAAGCATGCCGGTTTCCTTACGATGTTTTCCACGGTACGAGCTAGTGTTAAATCCGCACATGGACAGCATAATCTATACTTATAAACACTATATAATAAGCCGATACTCATGGTTGAATAAAGTTGACGTATTAATACATGACTTATGAAAGTTCATTGACCTTTTTACCGTAAGTTAATTCGCACTCTGACGATAATTTCGCACACTTAAACAATCGCCGGTATTGGCAAAACGGTATATTCAAAATTGGTTCTTCAATACATATGAATATAAAATCTATCTAAAGAAATAATTATTTCCGTATATAAAATATAATTTGAAATGATATGTATTTTAATGTCGACGATAATTAGCGTATTTTGTGAATAAAAGTAGGATTAATTAACGACATGCTTTTTCTTTATACAGCCTAGCCCCTCCTACCAATTCGGTTTCGACGTGAACGACGACCAATACACAAACTACCAGAACAGAAAAGAACAGAGGGACGGTGATGTTATCAAGGGATCCTACTCTGTGGTAGACAGTGATGGCTTCATCAGAACTGTCACTTACACCGCTGACCCGAAAGAGGGTTTCAAAGCTGAGGTAATCCAATAGTTTATATTTTCCATAAACATTTAAAATGTCTATAATTTTTAAGAATGCAGATATTTTCTACTACTTTAATCTGTTTTAAATAATTAATAATGAATTTTGTGAAGCTAAAGATACTTAATATATAGATACTTTTACTTAATATACTTTTTTATAACACGGATTAAACAGTACTTATTCGGAGGTATATTTGGGCTGTTCGGTTTTAAAAAAAGTGCCTATATCGAACCTAATCCGCTGTTTTGCTGGTATATATTTTCTGCTTAACAAAAATGTCTGGTATTCTTATTGTATCTTTCGTTTATCTTGTATATATGTATATGATATTTTTTAATTAAATATAATAATTTGTAACATATGTTTACCTAAATTGTCATACATTTTAGATAAAGAGTTTGTAACATATACCGTAGATTTAGTACTTTGTATGATGTTGTAAACTTTAATAAATAAACACAAAAATAGTGCTAGTATTCGACTATCACTACCGCATACTTCACTTTGTACTATATTTTAATTGTCACTACAATTACATTTTTCCCAACCAGGTGTCTCGCAAACCCACCGACATCGTAATCAAGTTCCCCACACCCAAGCCTCAGACGCAAGAAGTTCAGCCACCCCAAAAACAACAGCAATACGTGCCGCAACAACAACAGCAATACGTGCCGCAACAACAACAGCAATACGTTCCACAACAGCAACAGCAGGCTCACCAGCAACAACGGCCACAGCCTCAACAGCAACAGTATTACCGTTATGAATAAATGGGCAATTTCGGTGTACACTACTAATTATATTCTCAAAAGTATCACAAGGCTTTACGGTCGATGAAATAACTTAGCCTTAACTATGAAAAGTTATCAATTGACTTCTAATTCCGTTTCCTCTCATAATGTTTTTATATTTTTTTCTTATGATATGATATTATTTTGATTGACCGTAAAGCTTCTTGTGTTATTCACTAAAAACATAAAGAATTTTTTCAATCCCAATTCTTAATTTAAAAGAATCGAATTACAATTTATTATTAAACTGTTTATAAATAACGATATCTTCTTATCGATTAAGTGTACAACAAAATTACTGTTATCAGCTGGAAAATTCCTTTTATCTCTTATAATTTCTTATCTCTTTTATAGTAAGTGGTTTCTATTCAATACCATCATTACTCTTAAGTCATATACTTTTCTCATTCTGTCATATTATTAGGGATTCATTCGCTAAGTGCCAAATTAATGCATATATAATTTTCATCATATTCCATTCCTAATTGTATACTTTCCTTCCAATTTAGTTCCACGATAAAAATTATATCTGCAGTTTCTAAATGCCGTTATCAATATGAATCAAAAGTCAACCCCCTTTATTCATTTCAAAATCATATAGCTCTGATTTCACTAAATACTTGTAACCTTTTCAATCAAATTTATATATGGATTTTACGATTATTTTTAACATTTGACATGTCGAAAATGTAGATTTCCCATATAATACAATGTGCATATTGATTTAACTACCGTTTACTTCGCTTAGGTTCTCATATTTCCATATAAAAATTGTTTGAATTTAGAATTGTATAAAGCTTTGCAGGAAGATAAATTCTTTGACACAAGCTATTTTAAGTAGAAATACCGTCTTATATTCTTAGATTTTAGCTTTTAGTCTGCGAACTATTAGATTAAGAATTAGTCCAAAATGGTTAAGTAATTAACAAATTTATTTAAAATATTTTAATGCTTTTGTACCGCAATTTAGAGTTGAATTATGTTTTCAGTTTGTGATATAAAATCTTGTTAATAAATTGTTTTATAAGTATTTTTTCTTATTATTGCATGCGCCAAACAAAGAATACAGTTTCTCATTATGATATATTTACCTAATTTAATACGAAAGAAAAGCCTTTTTCAAAAAATTCATTTATTTTACACAAATTCGTTGTCCCTTAAACATTAAAATAACTTAAACACAATTATAATATATTATAATAAATATAACATATGAAAAAAATATATTTATATTTTTCTAAATAAATTAACAAAATACTAAAATTTCAGTCTATACAAAACCTAGGCTAATTAAGTATTTTATAAGGTTTTCTAATAAATGCGTTTTTGAACTAACTTAACTGTATTATTAATACTTTTTACCATATTTCTAATATAGTTTTTGTTACTCATTAGTAAAAACAATTACGAATGATTCCTTATAACCCACAATATATTTTGAATGTTTATTTAATGACCCCACAGGACCTTTTAATACAATTTTAAAACTCCTAAAACTTATTAATTATCAACAACAGCAGGGTTACCCTTAAAATAGCGTTGTCAATTTAAAGTTTGTAAAAATATTGCGACATCTTCCCTACGAATTGCCAACTGATTCCAGAATAGCCCTGCTGAATATTACATGAATTGCGTAAATATTTAAGACCCCTACACCGTATGTCAAGATCCATTTACTATTATGTATGAAAAATGAAATCGTGAATCAATACTTTTTTTTAATAAAACTTCATCGACGAATATAAACTCTCGACACCATTAACGGAAATGTCGTTGTGAAAAATAATTTACGTTTATATCCGTTATTTTAACGCATTAACCAAATGATTCTGGCAATTCCATCAATAGATTCGCTACACAACTGGGTCTGGCCTACACACACACCCAGATTCCACAAGAACGTAATCCTGCCCCGTTAGGGTCACAGGCCCCAATGGCAATACGAGAAATAGGTAAGGAACATATGTCTGTGTACATGAACCACGGATAACTGAGCATTCGCTTGACCTGAAAGAAAAAAAAATTAAATCTTTATACTGTATTGTGTTTTGCCTAGTATTACAGTTTGTTAAAAGGGTATAAGTTTCAAACAAATGCAGAAAAACTCTTGAAGTCCAATAGAATTTGTCACTCACTGTCGAACTAAAAAAACTTAAGGTTTTGTTTTAACAAAAAAGGTAATTTGCAGCGACCTTAAATCCCACGGCTCTCTTTCCACATTACTCTTATAGTCAATTCACAATTAACCGAGGAAAGAAAATAATCTTACTCGCAAACTTCAAAGACGACTTGCTGTAGAAGATCAGGGAACTTCTGAACGATAGTGACAGGTTGACCAGATGTCAAAGACACGCCGTACATAGGTGCTGTAGTGTTGTAGCGGGTTTTACATAATCTGGTTCCGCCACAAGTGCTCGAAGAACTTGGTGCTAATCCCGGAAGGTTCGATGCCCGAGCTGAAAATAGATGAATTGAAAATATAGCTAAAATATGTATTAAGAATATCCATAGCGCTACCTGCATCATGAGCACACCCCACATACACACCCTCACGTACATACACACACTTTCACACCATCACACAACAGCCGAATTAGGTATTACTTAGTTAAATGTATTGAATAATTTTTATTGATTTTTCTTTTTGTAAATGTTTCGTAAATATTATGTATTCCATCTAACTTCATACTTTCTTACATACTTAAAACTAATCATAATTTAGAATAATTGTTTTTTTTTGTTGTATATAATTTATGTTAGCTGTACTATTACGAAATAAATAAATAAATTAATATAGGTATTTTGTCTGCATTATTGATCTAACTTTAACTGGTCACGAAACCCGAAGACGATAAATATTGCTATTCTGTATTTTTTATCTAGTAGATCTCCAATGTGCACTCCATAAAATCACTGGGACTAAATTCAAAATTCAAAAATCATTTAATCATATGGGTAACACATTGTACACTTATGACTTGTCAGTAAAGAAATACATAATATTAATGCTTCTAATTTTACATTTAGTGCCAGTTCTCAAATCAAGGGCGTAGAACGGAAGAGAAGAACTAAACATTCGTATAAGGTAAAATGTCTTTAAAAATTGAGGATTTCTCATCACTCGGAACCACTTTAGTAGCGCGATTCACGCCAGCAAAGTATTGGTTCTAATTGCGGATTGTAGATGTCGCTACAAATACGACACATATGAATTTCGAAATATAATATAATCAAATGTTACCTGTTCTATTAGTCGGCGCCAGCATTAAACCCTCAGAGTATTTTTCGTGGGCCTCCAACAATGCTCTTCGCATCAGCCCCGGATTCACTGTTTTCATATCCCGCCCTTGACGTGAAGATTGACCCCAGGGTCCCGATTTTAACGCCCGGTTTACCATTTGCCTGAAAATGATTAGCTTTGAATAAAATAAACGAAGTTTTAGTAGGGTTTGTAAAATAATATTATTTACTTATAAAGCGAAAAGCTGGTGAATTTGGTCATAATAAGTTTTACTATAAGTAATAAATTCGCGGGTACGGTTTTTTTTTAATGTGAAGTACGCGCTTAAAGTATTGAGTATGAGCAGAGATAATACCGAATCAATTTTAAAAAGTTTCAGTTGAAAGCTTTAATTTAATGTAAGTTAGCGCCATCTAGCTCTGTTGCTATAAACTAACATAATGTTACGCGTGATACTGCTAAAAATGACAATCTATATTTGGTTGGTTCTTATTTCAAATAATATGAAAACTTTATGTTTGGAAAAGAATAAAACTAGAAATTAATAAAACCTGTTAGATTTGTACTGTCAAAATACTTGACAACATAATGAGCCAGTCTCGGGTGGGAAATTCCCATGGCCGTTATTTGCTTATTGTTAAAGAAAACGGGATTCGTGTACTGTAGCAATTTCCAAAACTTGAATCATTTAATTAATGCGAATTATATTTAAAAACACATAAGAATTGTGTTGCGACCCCTATAATCAGTACGATATCATACCCTGAATCATGCTTACAAAGTAATTCCATCAGCTAAGGATATATACATATAACTTCTCAACCTCAGCCACTGGGGCTTCTAAGACAGTCATTGGTTAGACTGGTTGAAGATGCACCCTTTAGATCGCAAGAAGAGCGCAACATTCCTCCACACATCATTTTTCATTAACATCTTAGAAAAACATTAGGACAAATAAGTACAGTCAGTAAAAGTGTTCTCCAAATTTGGCTAAACTGGGCGCTAGAAATATCGTTGAATCAAATTATATATTAGATATCCAAATAATTGTTTAATTTGCAGTTTGATCCCTTATTTGACCGACAGTTTTACAATGTCACATGTGTGTTTTTAAATACTGTGAATGAAGATTTTCTAAGGAATCCTCCCTTGTTTGCCTTTTTTTTATAGAGGCGAGGGCAAACGGGCAGGAGGCTCACTTTTTACAGTTCAAACATTCAATTTCGAATATTTAATGCTACTTTTAGTCACTGATAATCATTATGTCTGGTCTAAAACATGTTTTGACAACACAAGGAGCTCTCTTACAGTAAAATTTATATGACGTATAACTGCCATTAAACCCAATAGGTACGATTTGGGCGTGGCGTATTTACAACTTTTCAAAGTTTAGGCTGTGAAGTTTTTGCCGTCAAGTTTATAATTGTCATGTACTAGATTTTTAGACGTAAAATAATTTTATTGGGTTTTATTTTAGAGCACAAACTATTTAGCAGCCTCCAATCAGTAGTAGGACTGACATGTATGGGTTGGTAGAAGGGGAAGAGAGAAATACATTATCTGCAATTTCGCTCTTTTCACTCATCGTGTGAGCTGATGATGCAGAGGTCTATTACTGGTTGGTGGGCAGCGAACTAGCTGTTTTACTCTAAAATATGGAAGTTTGCTACCCCAAATGTACAATGACAAGTGAGAGAGGAATGTCATCGGCAAAATTTGTTGCAGACTTCTATATGTAAAACATCAGAAAACCGTCATGCAAAAAAAGAAATCTTGGTGGTTGCAAAAAAAGATTTGCTTCCCAAATTTGCCGCCCTAGCAGTGTCGTAACTATACCATCTGGGGCCCGTGGCAAATTCTTTTGATGGGGCCCTATCAGTAAAAATCGTCACGTTGTACTCAGTTTTTTTGTATATGTCCCACTAATGGCCATAGGGCTCCTCTCTAAGGCAAGAGGGAATGGCCACGCTAGCCCAATGCGTATTTGAGACTTCACATTCATCCATAGAACACCTCTTGGGTCGGGCGCCCGTGGTATTTTGCCAGCCCTGCCACCCTATTGTTACGCCACTGCGCCCTAGGCTCTAGCCTACTCAGCCTGCTGGTAAATCCTCCACTGGATTTGGGAGTCCTACTTATCATCGAGTCTGAATTTTATCCGAAAAGTGCGTCAGCGATTTTTTACTTTCTGAATCATCGCTACTTTCTAAAATAGTCACCATTTGACTGCAAACTTTTTTTTGCAGTATTACTAGGGCTCAGCGTTCACTTGTTTTTAATGGCTTCAAGTGAATGAACTTGGTTACTAGATTCCCGTAGACCATTAAATATTTATACGCCTCGTACGGTCGTTATATCAAGTATGTCGACAGTAGTATGGATTCCCGGGCACTGCCTCACCCACTGCTTCGGTAAAAAAAGCTGTTTCGGAGGCAGCGCCCGCCTAAAAAAAAAAAAAAAAAAAAAAAAAAAGTTTGTACTCTAACCCCACTAAACAGGACGTGTGGAGTCGAATGCACTCACTCCTGAAGTGATAGCTCTAACCGTTCCAGAGATAGCTTTCCCAAAACCCTTGCTAATTACTTACTAATCACCACCTTATCAGCTACTATTTCCTGCACGAAATTCCCACTCATTATCTAATTACTTAATGACTCAGTACGAATGCATCGTTATCTACTTTCCTACATTCACTAACCCGATCTATGGCTCTAAAAGAAAAATAGAATAAACTATATCTAACCTAACCTACGGGTCTAAGCAAACAACAATAAATATACCTACATTAACACCATTATCTATAATAAAATTAGATGTAAAGGGTTACATATTTAAATAAAACATTTTTATTCCAGGTATTATTCTTTTATTTATATGTCCATTATATTTCTATACAAATTTACTAGCACCGTATCATTGTTCTCTGAGTCACACGTAAAATTTCTAAGGAAGTCTTCTAATCTCATCCCCCTGAACTTGTAATATATGTATACCAAACAGTACTCTCCGCACACCGCCGATAGGTAATCCTGAACCGTAAGGCTATTGTATCTCCACATGCAACAATTCCTCCTTAAAAATCCTTCTATTGCTTCAATAGGTTTACGTCCAAACGAATCAAAGTATTCCCCAACTCTTTCGACGTTTATATGAATAGCCACCCAATGAGACCCCGGCTGTGAATCAGGGTCAAGATTGCATATGATAAGTGCTGGCACCTGAGCATACATCGGCAATCGATTTGAAGGATATACGTTGCTCTGGAGGCTGGGATGTATTCTACGAAGACTCATTTGCACTTCTAGTGTGTTCATACTTTAATACGCGTTTACCCCCTACTCTTTCACTCTTTTACTGACTACATTTATTAGTATCAATTCATATTTGTACCAATGTATTTAAACACACATAATATGATCTCAACATAAGTAATGAGTCTCTTTGTAAAAAAAGTAATAAAGGTAAATAAAAACCATGTCATATTCGATTACATTATATTTTATTATTCTTAATATCATAATAATTACATAAGTGATTGCTTAACTACTATAATCCACACATACATTTCTGTTCTTATCTATTTCTATAATATTTGAAAACTCTGCGTAAACTACACAGTTAATTGTTTCAGTCAATGCGCTCTCGAATCTTACTTCCATTCTTACACTACCATGGCGTACAAGATTCCAATGCACATTAGAGTTAGCCGACAAGTCAGGTGTTAAATCAAAAGCTAGTAAACAGTATCCATTTGAATATTGCTCCCTCGATATTCCATTACCTTCGTTAAGAAAATGTATACCGGTGCCTGAGTACAGGGTGTGGTATGCGCTAGTAAATACATCGTTTGGAAATGATGGTTGTAACGATTTTGAAGGTATCTGTTGACCATCTATATATAGGCTAAATGAGCAAATACCAAAATTTTCAAAGTTGAAAGGATTTTTAACATAACTACCGTTGAATGCTGTATTATTCACAAAACCTATAATACATCTCTTAGGAACCTGTCCTAAAAATATATTGTCCAGTGTTTTACCCTGCACACCAGCTGGTATGGTCAGGACTTTCACTTCACCTCTTGTAATAGGATATTTAGCCGTAGTAGTGGCAAGAACCTTTTGATGAGCTATTAGTATTGATGGATTAATTTTTGCTCTGCGTATTATTAAAGTTGCATCTGTTATACAGACTTTGTACTTATTATCTGCATTCTGTGACATGAGGTTAAATGTTTCTCTCGATCTAACTAATTTTATAGATAATTCGACCCCGTTCATGAGGAATTTATCTTGATTGAATATATCCCCATGTAAATGCCCAATCATTTCAACATCCTTTCCATCCTTTGAAAGTTGTTGTCTTTTGTAAAAGCCCTTGTTTGCCTCATTAGTTTCATTCATTTTACCAGCTGTATCCTCGTACCACAAACCACATGTCAAATGTGATTGTTTGGCGGATGATGAATAATTTAATAGAGTTTCTATGAAAGCGCGATATGCATAAGTATTATTTGGGGGTGACACAAGTTTTTGGTTTAGGTAAACATCCAATTGGTTAAATAAAGAATGTAACCAATTATTGACTGGTGCCACTACATTAGCTGCATTAACTGCAGAACCGTCTTGATTTTTAATTTGAGCCTTGAGATGGAGTAGTGTATGCGAAAGGTCTATGTAGTCATCTCCTGTACCAGGTACTTGGAATTCGATAGGTCCATCATCACTTAATGAAGAAATTGGTTTGTAATGTATCCAGTGTCCATATTCGATACTTGTTTGTGTGGAAGGAAGAGCAAACAGATCCAATTCAGATTTAACGCACTCACATGAATGATTATGAATAAATGACATTATGATTAGTTTGAAAATATATCCTTGGAAATATTAATATTTTTGTTCCTTGTTTTCTTTGAAGCGCCTTTCACTTTGAGGGGTGAAACTCGAATGAGCTCATTACAAAATTTTCGTCTCTTATTAACACCCGATCCAGTCATAAGTTTATCAATTTTTGTATCAACTTTGCGTTTAAGGTTAGAACTAACCTCTTTCAATCGATTTTTAATGGATTCTTTAATAGGACGACTAGCTACAACATCTGACAAAAGCCCAATACCGCTGTTAAGTGCTTCTTTTCCAATCACCTTAGCACCACTAG